GTCAGACAGCTGACAGACAGGGGCTTCCTCTCTTCTCTGCCTACTTCCTTTTACCTTAGGCAGTGTTGGGCTGAAGTGTCAGATGCGTTCAGGCAGAGGTGTAGCACCATGTGCAAGGCTGCAGTCCCTGTTCTCAGAGAAAAACGAGCTTCCTAACTAAATTAAGGCTGCTAAGGACCTCAGCAGAGGGTCTTAGCAGGTGGTGATTAGGGACATAATTTTCCCAGGATTTGCAAGGTAAGTAAAGATGCAGGGATTGTTGTTGTTTTATGTTTAGAGCTAGTGGGGAGGACATCCCAAACTACCACAGAAAAGAGGGCCTAGCCAAAACAGTTTGGTGCCCCTAGCCATCTGAGGAACGTACTGTGCTTTGAAACTAAAGCCAATATAGCTTTGTCATTTCCAGAAAGAAAAGATGTTACTCTTATGCTCATTTTACAAGATGGGGTTTTTTTTCATTTTAGATAGTATACTAACTTTTTCTCTTACATGTTGCAGTTCCCCCTGCAGACAGCAAGCTTTATCCAAATAAGCTCAAAATTTAGTGCAGAAACAGAAATCTCAGTAAAGCTAGCTGCATTGGAAATAAAATGCAGTTCTTCTGTCTACCAGTCTCATTCAGTATTCACAAGAGCTAATCAAACAAATCAAGATGGCTACTTATCTAATTGCATATGTGAGCATAAACATTCATTTACTGTATCTGAGTCCACAGAATTCAAGCACATAGTATTTTCCTTTCTAACACGTGACATGTGAGTCAGCCAGCTAGAGGCACCAAACTTAATTAGCTAGACTTGTCAGGCTTCTGAGTTGCATCCCAGAGCATCCTTTCTCTTTCCAGTGACTACAGAGAGCCTACGAGTCCAGTCAACTAACTTAACTAAACTTTTTGCTTTATGTTGAGTAATGCATGTATACATCTAGATGCGTCTCAGCATCAGACAGCAGGTTAGAAGCTGTTGCTGCTGCTGAAACTAGTGCTGCTGTTTAAAGCTATTTAGCTGCTATTCCTTCCTTAAGAAAATTGTGTTGCATTTGGAATTCATGTTTCATTTGGCAATCTCATTTACCTGGGTAAGTAACACCCTCTACCTCAATATATCAAATAAATTGAAAGAGTTAAAGACAGGAAGACTGTTCACTACAGGTGTTTACATGACTGGTTTTTATGTTGTTCTTTTGCCAGAATCAGACTTCATGGGTCCTCTCTAGCATGGCAGCTCTTTACTGGCGAGTGAAGGGCCAAGGAAAGAAGGCAATTGATTGCTTACGGCAAGCATTGCACTATGCACCCCATCACATGAAGGTGTGTACTCAAGTGTCCGCTACTCAGATGAAATAATGTCTTGCTTGTCACAATACAGCTTTCACAGACTAATAAGGCCAACACCGTGTGTATCAAGTGTCTATAATGTATTAGATATTAGCTAGTTGTGGTGAAACTTCAAGACTTTCACCACCTGTTTAGTGTGGACTGTCTTTTTTTAAAAAATAATTTTAAAAAAAAAAAGACAACTGCGAAAGAGATTGAGTGGAATTTCCTGCAGTTCAGTGTGTTTGACACCTCTGTGGGCAATGCAGGCTTGAACTTTCCCGTTACGTAGGACTTTGAATCTTCATCAGCCTTTGTCTGGACAAGTCTTCTAACCTAAGATGTGGGGAGTATATCTTCTGATTATGCTTTCAAAGGGAGAGTTTATTTTCTGGTTGTGCTTTTAAAGAGCTGAGGAGGTGATATCTAAAGGAATAATTTAAATGCTTACATTTTAAGCGTATGGGCTGTGAATCTCAGCTGGACACTAGTGCCTGACTTTGTGCAGCAGTTCTCAAAAAAAAAAGGCAGTACTTTGGACATAATCTTCTGTTTTGTGTTTTAGTTGACTAAAGTGCCTTATACCCTTCACCTTGCCACATGCTGTGCTGAGCATTATAATGTCTATTCTTAAACACCAAGCTCCCCCTTGCAAACTCATAAATGCAATATAGGCTCCTCACACAACATTGCAGATTTCACTTTGGGACGTGAGCAACAAATTGTGCAGCGTTGTGCTGTGTGTACTCCTTTTTGAATCTTGGTCTTAAATCCTTCTCTAAAAATCGTGAGACAAAGTAATTTACACTCTCAGGATATTATTAGTAGGATTTAGCCATTATCAGTAGAAATGCACATCCCCACTGCACATCCTATATATTTATGTCCCCTATAATTCCGTCTCTTTGCATTTGTCATTTTAAAACAAGGTTGGAACCAAGATCTAACGTAACAAGCTCTTGTTTATTTTCCTGTCTTTCTATCTAACTGGGAATGGTTCTTCAGAAATGGAGCCTTTAGCTGTGTGACTTGTAAGGGTCAGAGTATGGATTGGAAACTACAATTTGGCAAGATTATGGGGTAGTAATGCTGTTTTCTAGATATGTGATATAAAGTTGCTTGAGACTGGCTGACTGTCCAAATTTGTGCCTTGTTTTTGTCCTCCGTACTGAAGCTACCTTCAGAGAAAGCTTTTGTTGTAAAGATACAGCTGCAACTTGAATTAAGTGAGAGTTGGCACTGAATTAACAGCTACTTAGTGGGTTGGGTTTTTTTATCCTCCTCTTCGGTTTTATGCACTCCAGCTACTTTCTCTTGCCTTTTCTTATGTAAATAAAAGGTAATTAATTTTCCTGTGGGCTGCTTTTGTGATTCTGACTTCCATAATATCTGCTTTGCAAACATGAATGACTTATCCACCAAAGATATTCCTTGCGTTGTGGAGGTCAAGGATGCAGGGATCAAATACATCCAGAATTTTTTATTGTCCTGTTGAGGGCACCTAAGACTTAATACTAAGCAGTATTTTGTCCTTTGAAGGTGTAAAGCTCAGCTCCCAGAGAGTCTGTTATGGCTGTTAGGGCTCAACAGTTTTGTCAGTCAAACAAGGTCACAAGTCTGGAAATACAGGAAATAAAAAATGTACCATCAGTGACTAGCTGAGAAAACTGTATTTATAGCTGTTATCCAGCATCGTATAGGAATTCTGTGGCAGAGGCAGGATAAAAATGGTGCATCAGTTGTAGTAATGGTTAGACCCTTTTTTTCACTTCCCTGCTGTCCCCTCTTGTTCATATTTCTTCCCCTTTTATGCAAGAGCTGAAGGAGGATGGTCAAACAAAACAGCTTCTCTTGTCTCTGAGAATGCATCTCATCTTTGGGGAGAAAACTAGTGCAAGAGCATCTGAAAAACAAATGTACATACTAGGACACTTAAGTGAGTTAATTTTTGAGTTGTTTGTCTATGCAACACTGTGTTTGTCACTATTGTGAGCAGATGTGTGTATGTGAGGGTTTTTATAACTCAGGTCCAAATGCCCTTTTACAGTAAAATAGGTCTGGCTTATCACTTTCAAAGTCACCAGATAGTGAAGTGGGTAGTAACCCAAGTGAGAGTGGCCAGGTGGTGGAGTCTTCTGTTTGTCTTGCTGATCCTGAGACAGTTTCAATGGAAAGAACCTCACTGTTTATTGCTTGCTTTTCTCTTCCAGGATGTACCACTAATAAGCCTAGCAAACATCTTCCACAACGCAAAACTCTGGAATGATGCCATCATTGTGGCTACCATGGCAGTGGAAATAGCGCCACACTTTGTGGTTAATCATTTCACACTGGCAAATGTCTACGTAGCAATGGTGAGTGTGCTGTCACCCAGTTATGTCTGTCTTTGGTACAGTATGTATATAAAAATCTTATTCTCACAAATAATTTTGAAGGAGCAGCGTTCAAAAAATTGGGGTAGGATCAACAAGAGGGAATATTTTTTGAATGCCAGAACTCTTATTACTCATTTTACTCTTATTACTCATGTAGTACTTGAAGGCCAGCATTTTTATAAGCTGACTTCAGAATGCTGTCTGCAAAGCTTTGTTAAGACAGTAGCAAACAATTGATAATTTGGGTTGGCTGCCCATCTAAACACTCGGTATTTTTATAATACTGGTAAATTAATGATAAATTGGGTCTCTATCCTGAAGAGCTGAGCTTAACATAATAAATAAAACCCAGTTTACGGTTGTGGTGAACAAACACAAGGAAAGTTTAATTTCAGTATCTGGATTATCAACACCCAAAATAATTTACAGATTGAACTCAAATTCCTTCATACTGTATATACTCTAATCTGCAATTTAGCTTTGAGTGCTTACTCTGAACACAAAATGTTCATTCCTTTTATCTTATTAATGCTGGATTTGTTCTTGTGTGTTTCATCCTTATCTTTAACAGGGCCACTACATCTGAAGGGTAAAAGAGGCACCATTAAATTGAGACATAGTTGATATATATGTCTGTGTCAAAAGTATTTTCAATTACACATGTTACTATGTATCCCTGCCAGTTTTCATCACTTATCATAGATTTGTCCTTAATGTTTTGCTCCTGTGTTTGGGGGGATCATGGAGATAACAGGGCAAGTTGAGCAGGTAATCATGTATTATGGCTATCAGGGTTGAGAAGAGTTGAAATGTGCAGTGCTGTCAAACACGCAGTGGAAACAAACCAAAGAAAGGCATGACTTTGTTCTATTAAGGTATTACTTCTGACAGTTGTTTGAAAGAAGTGAAGTAGAAGTCTGATGCTTGAGTTGCCATTGTCTTTTTAAAGTTAGCACAGTGCCTAAGGATAACTTCATTCTCCCTGGATCTGAGAGATTTCTCAATGAAGCCCCATATTCGCTATAAGAAACGATTGTAGCAACAGGACAAAATTTATCTTTTGGATCAAATTATACGAACATAAAGACAAGTTAGTTTATTTACGTCACAGTTAACCTGCTGTATTTGAGACCTGACTCTGACCAACAGGTTGTAGAAGATGTCATGCTAATTAATAGTATAGCATTATAGAGGCCAACTTTCCTTTATTTGCAAAACTTTTCAGTAAGGTACGCTTTTTTTTTCAGCAAAGTTGATGTCTTTGCATTGTCCAAGATGTAAAGCTTTGATCTATTTAAATTCTGAGTGAAATCTGGTTTTTAAAGTTACTTTTACAGCAAGAATGCGAAGATCTACTATTAAAAGGCGAGAACAGTGGTCAGTAATGCCTAGCAGTGATTTGACTCCCTTCCATGGATTATGCAGAACTGGGTCATTAGCCCAAGAAAATATCAGTTATTTGGAGGAGAGGGGGGAAAAAAAAATCCTAAACCACAAGCAATTGGTTCAGTTACATTTGTGCATACCATACTACTCAACTACTTAGGACAGGAAAGGCATAGAAAATGTGTTTAGTGTTTTTAGGATCTAACTCTTTGCAATCTTCTTTTTTTCTTTACAGGAAGAGTTTGAAAAGGCAATGAAATGGTATGAGTCAACACTAAAACTTCAGCCGGAGTTTGCCCCAGCAAAGAATCGAATCCGCACCATCCAGTGTCATTTACTTATGAAAAAAGAGCGACGGTCTCCTTAGAGATCAGCATCTTTCTCTTTTTTTTAAAAATGTCATTACTCTCTATTCTGCTTTTAAGTGTGCTAAGATAAATTGATGAATCAAAATTTTTAACAAGACTTTTTAAAAGAGATGGGATTTGGATTGAGGGTTCTTTTTTTTTTTTTCCTCAAATATAGGAGCATCTTTGGAAAGTGTATTTCACAGACCATAATTTTAAAACATCCATGTAAATATTAAACCAAGAAACTTCCATGAGTCCATGACCACCTGTTATCAGGACCCAGGCACTGTTAGTTTTTCCTTAATGCTCAGATTGGCATCAGCATCCAAAATAACTTGCTTCATGTCTTATAATCTAAGGCAATGGAAATGCAAAGCACACACCCGTACCAAAAAGTAAGAGATAATCAGCAATTCATCCATGTGAAACTCATGCTTTGTCCAGCCTTGTTCACTCCATACCACATTACCTGCTTTTTTGGAAGGAGAGGGACAGGATTTTAAATGTTTATAAAAAACATCAAGCATTTTTGGAATTGTTTATTTCCGTTGGGGGACGAGGAGGAAATGAGGAGGAGGGAACAGCAGGACACTAAAGTCAAAATGTTTTTTAATCATACTTGCAGGAAAAAAAATAGTAAAAATCCCAATAAGGTGTTTTATATTTGTCTATATATTCATAGCCCTCTGCCTCCTTGACTGCTTGACTTACTAATTCTTTGTTCACTGTATTTCTAGCCATTTCGGAATAAGGTGCAAGTTTATGCTCGCTCTGAGCCATACTTTCAGCTGCCGAGGAGGAGGAGGGAGGTGGTGTCAAGGTATCATCAGCAAATAAGTCAGGTGGAAGATTTCCAAATCAGTTCTCTCTTTGGTTGGTGGAGGACGTGATTCTCCAGACATCATTGTTGAATCAACAAGGGCACATATTTGAAATAAAATAAATTGTTTATGAACAAATCACAGCTTCTCCTCTGATGTGTGTGTCATGTGGCGTTCGCAGGAGTCTAGGCTTGGGGACCTACAGCCTTTCCTCAGGAGCAGACAGAGCTGGGAGGCAGGAAAGCCTTTAACACTCCTGATTAGACAATGATTTTCTGCATATCCGTGGAAAATTCCCTGCACCTCTGTGCCTGACTCCTTTTCTGTGCAGAAGGAAATAAGGGAAAGTTAACTAAATCAACTGTCTGTCATGTAACCTACCCTCCAGCTTCTAGTGTTAAACATCAGTGCTTCGTGATTCTTTTTAAAGAACTAACAATGTTTATGAACTTACTCTTCCCCCCCCAATTTTTCCTCTTTCAGTGATGCAAATTAAGAGCAAGTGTGGCAGTGGTGGAAACTGATGTCAAAGTAATTTTTTTTAATACTGTAACTTTTTACTTCATAAAAGGATCCTGGAATATTTTTATATATAATTGAAGATGAGCAGTTCTAATGCAGATTTTACCTCTGTTTTACTGCAAGTAATTTTTGTTCATCTAGAAAGCCTGACAGAGGTATGAGAAAGTGCTACTCTTGGGTAGATTTTTATTAAAAATGGGTGAATGTGTCAACAGAGCCAACAGCATGTCAAATTTTATTCCCTTCCCAAGGGTACTTGAAGGCTGGATGTTGTTGACCGGAGACAGGCGTAGCTGTATCTATATAAACTCCAAGAGGAAGATCACTTTCTGGAAGGTCTGATACACCACCGCTAGGACCGTGGACGGGGATAATGAATTGCAGAGATTTCTCACATGGAGGTGCGGGAGGGGAAACCAGTAAGGCAGGTACAAGTAAATGAAAGAAGTTCCATTTGAGCTAGAAAAAAGCACAAAGGCTTTTTCTTGAACTGAAGCAATGCACAGAGAAAGTATGCTTTTCTTCAGTTTCGTTGACTGATCTGCTTTACTTTTATAGTGGTTGATAAATACTTGGGACTCAAATATATTTGGTAAATCTTCCATTTTGTTGTGCTAGTTTTAAAATGTAATATGCAAAAACTTCTCTTGGTACAGAGGATCCACCTTACTACTTGGTTTCCTCATGTATCATATGGTCAAATCAAGTGATTGCCACATGCTGAACTCGCTTCTACTGCATCTGTGTGTCTGATGATGGGAGAGGCTGAGACTTAAGTGAAGAGTAAGATTGGTCCTTAAGAACCTAAAGCAGCAATACATGGAGCACAGATGGTCATCTTTGGCTTTGACAAAAGATGAAACTAAAATAGACTTTTTGTGTATCACCAAGGATTATTATGCTCATTGACAGCACTGATGGGCACTTAAAATTAGCCATTAATACTCATGGCAGTTTATATCTTGCTTACTGCAGTATTAATTTATTTTTTATTAAGAAACGCAGCAAGGCGCACTGTATACAGACATCACACAACAGGCAGGAACATGAAGTTTTGTGTGCATGACCATAACATAAATTGGTATCACCACCAAGGAGATAGCCGCTATTGCTGCTCTTGCTCTGTTTGCATTTCCAGAGAACTTACTTGCACCTTATGAATGGTTCTTGGAAACTGCAGTAGTCTGACTTCAAGTAATTTTTTTTCTCAATCTTGGTTAAGTACTTTAAGGGAATGTGTACTGTCTTACTCATAAAATTTGTATGTACAGCTCTTCATTTGCTACGTGGCTACTGTATGCTGTATCTGCCATACAACTAATTTTAAAATAGCCCATGCTTTCCTCTGAACTGTATTTTCAGAAATTTTAGGTAATTCCTCTAAGTGTACTGCATAAGCAGTACATAAACTGAAGCAGGGAAGCAAAAAGATTTACTTGAGAGCATGAACTTGACTACCACTAGCAACAGGGTGTGTGCCTTAAAGATCTTACCTGCTGATGACTCTGGGGGGGAATGCTGACTCCTGTCCTTGGAGAAGGTGAATGGAAGACTCTCTTCTCATCTCCATGTCTTCGTCCCTCCTGTATAAATGCAAAGAACAGTGGGTTTGAGTGGTGTGGCTGTGTTCAAATGTTAGTCAAAGAAAAACTAATGCTGATCTTATGACCAGAAGACAAATTGGGCAGCATGTTGAAAGGGAAGCCAGTGACTTTTATGGAGCAAAGGGGTAATTTTCTGCAGGATGAGCTAGATGTTTGAGGATGACATTCATCTCCTTCCATGTAAGCTTATTTTAAAATAGCTAAGGTAGTTGTCTAGGCTTTATCTTCAGTAAATGGAAAAGATTATTATCTTATCCCTCCATGTTGTAGAGCGTGACAGATTGTCTGTTCCAACTGCCTGTTCCTTTCCATTGACTGTTGAGGTACCTTTGACCACCTGAACTTCAACATGGTTTCTAATAATGAGACTTCAACTCATTTCATATTGACTGGCTCTGCTAAACATATCACTAAAGTAAGCTAATTTAGGGATGACGGAACCATAGGTAAATGGCAAAATCTTCTTTTCTCCAAAAAAAGGGGGTTTTTCCTCAGTTGTTTTCAGAGCATACCCAGAATTGAAGTGTTTGATGGAGAAAAAAAGTCTCTGCTTGTTTGCAGATAGCAGCATGTCCTGACATCCAGGGGCTTTTAAGGGCAAAAACTGTGGGAAAAGAATCTCATATTTCTATCTATGGAGTGGTGTTTTTGTTTCACTGTTGATGGCATAGTTGTACTAGTCAGGGCAGCACTGATGTCATACAAAAAAGAAAACTCAAAAATACCATGTTGGCACCCAATGTGACCATAGCATCACATTCAAACAACAGATTTTACAATGCAATGGAGCCTGGGATCTTAATTTCCATCACCTGTGGACACCTTGCATCACCTATGATGGCTAATTTTTGTAACAGACTGAAAATATTAATCAGAAAAGTTTTCTGATGGAGATTACAACCTTCCTCACTCTCTAACACTCCCTCCTTCGTTCTTACAGGAAGAAGATTTAAAACAAACAAAAAACCCGTCATCTCTCCCTATTTGTATAATTGTATAATATAGCCAAAGATGCTATATTAGCTCTGTTGCAGTATTGTGATGCTTTTGCTTCTTGTGATTTTCAGTAGCCGCCATGAACTTGTCTGGCTAGCAATTTAGGACCTCCTGGGTTTAGACCTGCTTCATGAATAGTAACGTTCCTACCCTGTCCTCCTGCATGACAGGCATTTCCCCTCCTTGCTGTACCTCTCTTCCTCCCACATGTTGTCTGATGTCTTTTTAGAACATAGGGGTTTTTGGAGATGGAATCATTGCTGTTTATGTCTTTGTATGAGAAACAGTTGTAGTGCCAGAGAATACAAATAGTACCAACAAAAAATAAACACAACTGTTTGGAGACCTGTGAAATGGGGAGTAAGAAGGGTTTGATAGTCTGTATCAGCACTGAGAGAGTGAAAATGCTTTAGAAGAACTTCCCTTGGCACTCAGAAAAATGCAAGCTCCTCCTCTTCTGCAGAACTACTGGATGTTGTGTGACAGATTCAGGGTGGTCCACCTGTCTCAAGCATCATTTAGAGGTGTCCTGGAGTGCTGCAGGTTGCCTTGATTTCTTAGAGGACCAGCTGGCTGTGTTCAGGTCAACAAGACTCTCTTGAATTAAATGTCCCCAAAGAGTAAGCTTTGTCACTTGTGGAGTTGGTTTTGTCGATTTTTTTTTTCCTCTTAATTTGCTGAATGTACTCAAGCGTGCCAGTATCAATTCAAACAAAGCAAATGGGTCTATGAACACTGAGGTTTACGAAGCTTTCCTATCAAATGGTGGTCATCTTGCTGCCACACAACAATACACCAGCTGATGGCTGGTCATCTGTGAGAGCCAACAGAAGGTTGTCCTGCAAATAACTACCAGGAAAGGACAGGCAGTGAGCTTAAAAGCAATTTATTACTATTTTAGGGAATTTGCACAAGAGTGATACAACCTATATTCGGTACATATAATGTTAAGAAAGTGAAAGTCTGAATTAAGTGAAAGGGTTCTCATACTTTAAGTTTTTCTCATTTTTAAGTATTGAAAAGCTCAGGATTGATTAGGAACAGTGTTTTGATAAGACTGCTTAAAAAGCAACCCCTCGAACTTTTGCAAGTAGTTGATTTTTTTTTTTAACCTTTTAAACCTGATGATCTGCTTCTGGGTTCCAGAGCAAAAATAATAGCAGCTGAGTTCAACAGTCTCAGAGGAGGTAAAAAGACAGTGCCACAGAAGGAACAGTTTCAAATACGGGTGACCATGTGTTAGCCTTGTGGTATTTATAATCTAGGAGGATTGTCTTAAGGCAGGTGTTTTGATTGGATAAGGTTTTTTTCTTGAATCTAGTTTCAGGTTGCTCCTTCCATGTTCAGTCCTTCAGAATTGGGTTATTACTAGTCTAACAGAGTGTTGCTGTTTATATTTATTTGTGCCCACAACATGCCAGGTGTTTCACAGAAGAGCCAGTCTCTGCTCTGCAGGGTGTAGAGCCCCAGACATGGGCCCACAGTAGGCTTTCAGTGGTTACAGGCTTTGTGGAGCTCATTGCATGGCCAGGAATCAGATGCTGTTCAGTCAAACCTTCTGGCTGCGGTCTCTCCATGGTAACACCACTGCTGGTTTTAAAATCTGAGCAATCCACATTTCTCTGAGGAGAAGACAGCACTCTGCCAAATCAAGCGGTCATCGGTCTAGTACAATTGAATGGAAAACTTTCAACCTGAATTTTTGGCTGTTCTGCTTTTTGATCAAAATCCAATCTTGTCTTCTCTCTATAATTATCTAATTCTACTGTTGTTTGGAGTTTTTTTAAAGAAATTAATCCCCAGAGCTGCAGGTGTTACAGATTACAGTATGATAGCATGCATTACCATGATGTGTTATGACTGCCTTTTGCTGTACCCTGTCTTGTGATCCATGTGCTGAGGAGCAAAGAAGTAATATTTAAAAGTCATTAAGAGACACTAACCTGTGGGCAGATGCAATCCAAACAAAATAAATGGATGGAGGAAGCCCAGATGAAGCCAGTTTTATCCAGCTGC